CTTGAAATGTCATCATCATCATCATGAACTGATCGATCGATTGATCAAATGATTCGATAATATTTTAATCGATATTCAAAATATATGATTGGCAATAGCGATGACGATTCATGATCATCTTGATATAATCATTTTAAAGCGAGATTAACATAATGATTATGGCGATGATGTAATTGATTATGTCAATGTTAAACAAATAATTCGTTGGTGATTCCATTTTTTAGTGACTAGAATTTGAAAATTAAAAAAAAAATCAACAGGTGCAACACACACAAAAACAGAAAAAAGTAATGATAAACAAGAAAAAACTAGTTATCAAAAACTTATGTATGTGTGTGTGTGTGTGTGTGTGTGTGTGTGAGTGTGTAAATATCATGTCAAAAAATAAGGAATTTCTCAATTAATTAATCAATTTGAAGAAAAAAAAATCTACATAAACCTTGAACATCACCATGAATGGTGGTCAGATTATATCAATTTTTTTTATTTATCAAATGTCATCCATAAACAGAAAAATAAACAAACTAGATATAGCCAGTTGTATATTATTTTTTTTTTTTTTGTTTGGCAAATTTTTTCACCCTTGCTGTTCAAGTTGTTCAAAGTTTTGTTCTGTAAATTCGGATGAAAACAAAAAAAAAAATTCAATTTCAAAAATTTCACTGTTTTTTTCTCTTGACATTCACTTATCCAGAAAAAAAAATCTCATCAGATAAAGATTATAATCATGATAATTGACTGAATGTATCGGTTTTTTTCCTATTGATACTAAACGAATATCCAATACAATCATTCTATTCGAATCAATGTGAATAACAAATTTTGATTGCAAATTGGTAGTGATTATTTTTTTGATATGATATGATTCCAAGCATAACAAAGTTGATGAACAGGTTCTATACACTAGCTTGCTCTTTACATTCATATTAACAATCTTGATCATCATCATCATCATCATAAGTTCATACGAAATAGAAAAATAAATAAATATAAATCCAGGGTCATTCAAGACGGTGAATTGAATTCAGCATATTTTTTTCAATAAAAATTATAATTTTGGATCATTTTCATTAGTATTTTTTTTCAAAATTAGAACCATTTCCACGTCGAGTGTTGCCATCTGTTGATGTAGAATGAAAGCATTATTTTGAAGAAAAAAAAATTCCACCAAATATTTTATATTTGTCATGAAAAATGTATTCGAAATGTGAAAAAGAACAAAAAATACAATTGTAAAGCCAACACACACATGCAAAATAAGGTCGGAGAAAAACTAACTGTCCAGATCTAGTTTGATCTGGAAACAAAACAAATAATAATAATATAATAGGAAGATACCGTATCCGTCCATCATTGGTATCCTCATCAATGTAGCCTCTAAATAATGAAGTTTAAATTTCGAAAAATCTCATGACTAAAAACAAAAATATAGCGGCAAACTCTAACAACAACAACAACAATCCTCGTTGGATTTTGTTGTTGTTGTTATTGCCGTCGTTGGTTGATGTGATAATAATAACTGATTTGCATTTCATTTACTGATAATTTGAAACCATACACCAAACACAAACACACATATATACACACAAATGCACAGGTTTGGTCTGAAATACCGCTACAACCTAAATCAGGAAAGAAAATAAAAAGGAAATAAAAACCCAAAAACCAAAAAAAAAACATATAATAACGTGTGTTTGTATTGAAGAAAAATCTAGAAACCTTAAAAAATTATTGTTGATGAGGATACAAAATAATAATAATTGTCAATCAGTTCAAGGTAACATCGTGAAGAGAGAGAGAGAGAGACAGAAAAAGAAAAAATGATGATTATGAAAAATCCAAGGATATTGAGAATGTGTGAAGAAAAACGAAAAACCAGAAAAAACCGACAATAAATTTGACAAATAAATCCAAACAATTTGAATGAAATAAAACCACTCATCATCACCTAAAGAAATTTTGATAAAAGAAATGAAAAATTTCGGAAATTTTCCAAAAAAAAACACGACAAACTCTTATAAACACACAAACACACACACACACCGAATCATCACATGGCAACAAAACCAGAAAAAAATTGATGATGATAAAATTGAAAAAGATCTATAAAAACCTTAAAAATGAAAACAAAAAAATGAACCAGATAAAAAAAAAATAGAAGCCAATAGAAAAAAAAGTTGGCTACATTCGTTTTGTACAAATAAGGAAAAACAACGTTCATCGTCATTTTGATTATTTTTAGATGATGATGACGATGATGATGTTTAGTGAAAGCATTAAGATTTAAAACTACATATATATAAATCTAAGAGTATTTTTTTGGTGGGTAAAAAAAAAGTTGAAAGTTCAAGTTTGAATTGACGAGTAACTAACCTACTACTAATACTTGATCTTAGGTTATCTTGTCAATTATTAAAGATTTTCTTTTTTCCCTTGATTATAGATCGATGGCCTGTGTGTATTTTTTTTGTGTTTGACATCAAATTCACAACAAACAGTGAGAAAATTATTATTATTATTAATTATAAATCCTAAATTAAAGGCAATGACTTTTTTGTGTTCATATTTTGGCACCTATACAACAACGTTTGTTCATCATTTTTTTTTGTTTCTGTCTTTTGGCTTCTGTTTTCTGAAAAATGAGAGTTTTCCACATAGGGAAAAAAATTGATCCATTAAAAATAAATCGATCTGAAATCGAAATTAGATTCTTTCTTCTTTTTTTTTGAAAGGTCATATTCCACATAATAATTTGATAGTGGATCAATTTTTTCATTAAATGAAGAAAAAAAATCTATATGCTACAATGTTTGAATATGAAATTCCAAGATATTCTTCTTCATCATATAGCTAGTTTGTATGCGAAAAAAAAATTTCGAAAGAGAAAAAAATCACAAGAATAAATTCTAAAGTAAAAAAAATGATTAAAAACATTCGTTTTATTCCTATTTTATAAAGATATATAAAAATCGATTAATGTCAAATAATCGATTTCAAAAAAAAAAAAAAAAAATAATGATCTATTGTCATGTAAATTTAAACTGATTTATAAATTATTGACTTGGTACTTGCAGCACACAAGACATTCTTTATGTTCAGATGTATTTTTAAATTCTAACCATTCAAAAAACCATTCATTTTGATACAAGATTCAGTTGCAAAAACACACAACGCTACATTATTAGCAATGGATCGTCTATGTGAAATACTTTATAATTTTCTTGCAATCAAAATCATTAAAATGGCCAAATTTTTACGTATTGAAAAAAAGAATACCATTTCAGATATATTTCAATCAGATTATTATTATGTCCATTTTTTTCTAACTAGAATATCTTATCGATTAGATGAATATGAAGACCATCGTATTCCAATGACATATCGAAGATTTAAAAGTGCAATATTCATCACTTTGAATGGCTTATGCATAATTATAACATTGACATTATATGTATGTATGAAAGAAAGTAAAATTTTGATCAACTATAAATATTTGGAAGAAATAATCAATATTCAAAGACTTGATATAATAATCATTTGTACATTATGTATGGTATGTATTGGTGAATTGATATCACTTCGTTTATTGTTTAAAGTTGTTACATATAAATCACCAATGCATGATATTGTGATGAAAAATCTTCAATTTAATGATCAACGTTTAACATCAAATCATCTACGATATTTACATCAATATTATTTATTTTTAAAAACTATAGGAGCTATATTAAGTGTCATCATATTTCTATGTATTATTCTAGGATATGTTAGCGAAATATCATTACTAGTTTGGTCATATTTTGAAAACAAAATTACATTTATTCAGCTACTGACATTTATGACATTATTTTTCTCAGTATGTTTTCATTTTGATTTCATGATTACTGCCCTATTACTTGGTACAATAACTGCTGGTTTTATATCGGAATTTCTTAAATTACGTTCAAAACAATTATCACAATTTTTACAACTTAATCATTTATCGAAACAAATTCCAATGATGAAATTTAAATGGAATCATATTCATCAAGAATATGTTGATCTTTATGAAAAAACAGCAGCGATCGATAAGACAATTAGCTTCGTATTATTATATTTGGAATCAGCTTCGAAAATTGCATCAATATCAGCCTGTATATTCTATAGTCGTCAAATCAGAATGGGAATTTCTAATTCAATAGTTCTTTGTGGAATGTTATTGGTATTTGTTTATACAAGTGTTTTATATACACGATTAACATATTCACCGACATATAATCATCAATACTGTCAATCATTATTGAAATGGATGGCAAAACGTTCAATTATTAGGAATAAAACCAAGAAACAATTCATGAATGCAATGGTCAAGTCAAATTTATTTCTACAGACAATGACACAAAATGAATTCGGTTTTCATTGTGGTCAAGTGTTTTTCATTACGAAATTCCAAGTTCTGAAATTGTTCATGATGCATCTGCCATTGATAACAATGTTTTACAAAAAAATTTGCATGGTATAAACAATGACAAATCTCTATGATTCCACAATCACTTCAGAATATTAAAAAAAAAAAAATCGACATTTCCAATCAAATGATTCTTGCAACTAAACACAGAACACAAACATAAACAGTGTGACGATTGTTTCTCATTAATTCAATGATCAATCATCAATGAAAAAAAATAAAATAAAATATTCATAATCTAATCTGATTTCATATTCATTTCAACTTGTTAGACAAGTTTTTCTTGCCTCTTCTCTCCATTCATATATTGATTCAAAATCTTGCACCACCAACAATCTAATCTCAATGTTTAACGAATAAAAAAAAATTTCAATCATCTGAAAAATCAAATTATCATTATTAATCAATTATATATATGTAAAGCAGAACAAAACACACAGATTATAAATTTTTTATATAGAGAAAAAACAAGATTTGTTAGTTTCTATCACACACACACTCACACATAAACACATCAAAAATTTGAAAAAATTAAATAAATAAATAAACTTACTTTCGTTTGGTCATTTTATTTTTCGGTTTACCCGTATTCATTTTTGATGTTTGATGATTAACCTTTATTGATGATAATGGCGGTGGTGGTTGTGGTTTGACCATATCCAATAATGGAACGGCAACCACAACCGTTGTTGTTGTTGTTGTTTTCGGCATTATCGATTCCATTATTTTTCACATTTAAATGGATTCTTAGATTCGTTAGTTTTGTCAAGTTACAATAAACAAAATACATACACACACACACACACACAAATCTTTACAACACTCTGTATTCTGAACAATAATCTTCAGTAAAATTACTGGGAAAAAAAATCTTTCAAATGCACACGCACACACACAAACACAAATTGATTGTATAGTACAACAAAAATACGTACACAAAAAATGATATCGTATATATATATCGAGTTTTAAAGCCAAAACAAACTAGGTCATTTCATCATCATCATCATCACTAAAAGTCACTCGTAAGTATACAACAAAAAAAAAAACATAACCACATTATATTGAATGCTGTGAAGAAAAAAAGACAAAATGATCGAATAATATTTGAATAAAAAAAGGAAAAAAATTCCAAATTGTAATGATTTGTCCGTGTGCACACAGTATTTGGTGAATTATAAATCGAATAAAAATGATGAAAAGTCAGAATTTGTTCGAAAATTATCATTGTTGATTAAAATGATCCTTGAATAGTTGTAGTTCTCGTACTAAATTTTCATATTATTTGATTTCGATTAAAATCCAGATAGATCAATAATGTTGTTATTGATGATGATCTAAACGGATGATTGATTGAAAAATGTTTACAAGTGTCTGTCGATTTGTTTTTCTTATTGATTGAAAAATAATTCACAAATAATCAATAATCGAACGGGAAAAAAAATTGCCAAATTTGATTGGTTTTTTTTCTCTTGTTGTTGTTGCTGTTGTTTGCTTGGAAGAAAAAAAATCTTTTTAATCAATATAGCAATATTTTTATATTCAATCGATTCAAGATTTATTCATTATTAACGACAGCAGAAACAAAAAACATAAACACAAAATTAAATCACCATTGTAATCAATTTGTCAATGATAAATAATGATGATGATGATGATGATGATGAAGCTGATGATGTTCCAGACAATTTTATTTTATTTTTTTTTAACAGAAAAAAATCCAAAAAAAAAAATTTTGATAAAAACAAATCACAAATTCATAGAAAATACATGCACTCGAATAGCTCGAATACACACAAACACACACACACACGATACATTAGATGTGGATGGATAGAGGGAGAGTTGTTTTTTTTCTGATAGAAAGAGAGAGAAAGAAAGAAAGAGGATGATCATCGAATACAAAAAAAAAAAAAAAAAAAAAAAACATACACATATAATGGTAGTGGCATAAGAATCCTAAAAGATCCAAATATTTTCAATTTATACTAGCAGCATTATTTATGATGGGATCCATGTGTATGTGTGTGTGTGTGTGTTTTTTATTTTTTTTCTTTTCATCATCATCATCATCTTTAAATCAATTTTTTTCCTTCTCATATTCTTTTCTTGAATAATTTTCACGAAAATAAATGATCCACCAAATGAATGATGTTTTTTTTTGTTCCTTTTGATTTTATCATCATAACTATATGTTCTTCTTCTTCTCTCTCTCTCTCTCTTTTGATATATTAATATAAGGATTTTTATCATTTTCGAGTGCATATTGGGGGGGGAATGAATGAATGGAAAACAATATATGAAAAGGAGGAGAAGCGACAACGACAAGAAGGCGGTAATGTTGAAAGAAAATAAAACATTATAATGTTATTGGCCGTTTTATGCATGCGCTTTAAGGTCGAATATATATTATATATATTGAATTCAAAACAAAACTCGTGTATACACTTTTCAAATGTATGATTCCTCCCACCCCATCAGGATTCTAAACAAAATCAAAACAAAACAACAACAACAACAAAAATGAAACGACTTTGAAGCAATGACATTTTTGTTATATGAAATATGTGCAACCATCTGGTGATCAGAGTTTTCATTTTATATTTTTTTTCACAAAATTTGTCGATCAATTTTTGTTTGTATCTCTACAAAAAAAAATTCATTGATTGATTGATTGAAAAATGAAAAATTCCTGATGACAACCAAACAATAATTTCATCAATTCAAGACATCAAGGACATTATTCTGACTTCGAATGAATAAATACAATCGAATTTCGAATGTTTTTTTGCTGCTGCTGCTGTTGTTGTTCATTATAGACTTTTAACCATCGATAGTCAATTGACAGAATAATCGATTATTGCAATACTTATCACTTTTTATATTTCGTTTTCTTTTCTGCCCACCATTTCACCTGTGTGTGACATGTGATTCTTTTTTTTGTTTTTTTTAATTTCTTATTAAATCCATGATTGCAATTCGACAATCATTCATCTCATCAATCAAATTCAATTCTCCTTAAACGAATCTTATTATTGGGTGAAATTTTTTTTTTTTTTTTTTTTGTAGAAAAAAATGATGAACAAAGTTAATGGAATCTATAGTGTTTATATTATATCGAAATCTGGTGGTTTAATCTATAATTATGATGTTGAATCAAATTTTCCATTGACTGAAGTGGAAAAAACATTCAGTTTTCCATTGGATATTAAATTAGACTTTACTAATCAAAGATTGACCGTTATGTTCGGTCAACGAGATAATATTAAAGGTATGTGATGATTTATTGATCATTGATTTTTCATGATGAAACTAAAAGTTAAATATTTCTTTTCAAAGTTGGTTATTCATTATTAGCAATTAATGGTGATCCAATCGTTGGCCGTAAATATAAAGATCAAGATATTATTAATGATTTTCTTGCAAATGAAGATAATTTTCCTGTTAATCTTAAATTTGGATGGCCACGTCTCAGTACGAATGAAAAGATTGTTATGGCATCAATGTTTCATTCAATGTATGCTATAGCTGCATTACAAATTATTCCTAGAAAATCCATTGGCAATGATAATGTTCGTAGACATTCCTGCACCGGTATTGAATATATGGAAACGAATAATTTTCGTCTCAGTTGTTTTCAAACATTGACCGGCGTAAAATTCTTGATCATAAGTGATTTACGTGAAACAACGAATAAGGATTGGTTATTGCGAAAAATCTATGAATTATATTCGGATTATGCATTGAAAAATCCATTCTACAAACTGGATATGCCAATCCGTTGTGAATTGTTCGATTTGAATATAGCACAATTGTTGGAACAAAATGATCGTAATATGGCTGGTAGTAGTGGTGATTCATCTTCCACATCAGTAAATCATTTCTAATTTATCTATACCGTTTTTTGTAAATATAATTTGAAATTTTTTTGTTATCAAAATAAAATTTATCAAAATTTTCTGAAAAATCGATTGTTTAGTTTCTACTGGTACCATCAGCCCTGCTACCATCTAGCGGTGCGCATTATTGGCAATATTTTTGACATTCGAATTCGAATATTATGTCGAAACATTATTCTCTGTACAAGTCATCGATCCAGATTATTCACTCATCATAATCATGGATTTCAAACCACCTTCATCAGTAATTTTTCATACTGCAAATGGAAGAAAAATCGAAGTTACCGATGGACAAATGGCCAAAGTTCGTTCAATTTTATGGAGAAAAAATGATTCAGATTCGAATATGAAACACATAACAGTGAATACGGACAATCGTACTCGAATGAAGACGAGTAAATATTTTTCTAATACCAATACCAATGTCTATGATGATGAAGATAAAGAAAACATTATTGAATCATCTTCAATGATCAACAACAACAACAACAACAACGATGATGGTGATAATTTAATGGAAGATATCGATGATGATTTTTATGATGACATTTTCATATCATCATCATCAATCGCTATGGACATATCGACAACAAACGAATCGACAAAAAAACGATATTGCGAATCATCGTCATCATCATCATTGCAACAAACATCATCTAAACGTAAACGTTTATCGTAATTTGACTTTGAATAATTCCAATCCAAATTTATTTTTCATAATATAATATAATTCATGTTTATTATTCATATAAATTTCATTTCAATCAAAGAAATAAAAATTTTTTTTTTTGATTATCACAAATAATACAATTGTAACATTCTAAATATGATTGATTCGATTGTGGATGACAGCAGCAAACAAAATTTGTCCAAAAAAAATTATTCAGGTCGTCCATTTTGTTTATTTTTTTTAAAATTTATTTTCGTATCAATTTTTTTTCATAATAAGGATGATGAATTCAAATGTCGAATAAAACGTTATGATGAAAATGGTTCGATTGATAATGAATTGGCTGCCGATTGTATTGTATGTATCAATATGGGTAAATGTTTCTGTAGCCTTATTAATGAATGTTTTAAATCATCATCATCATCATCATCATCATCACCATCATCAATATTATTGAACATTGTGCCCATTAATTGATCTAATTCATCAATAATTGCTGGAAAAAAGCCACCATCATTACCATCATAATGATGTTTAGGCATTATTGTATTAATCATTTCAGATGGTGATAGTATTAAATGTCTTTTAAGATTATTCGATGGCAGGCCACGATGATCAAGAAATTGTCGTTCAATCAATAATAATTTATCATTCAACTGTCGTACCATTAATGGACTTGATCGATTGATTGATTAATTCCGGAAATTAGAAAAAAAATGAATAAATTGATAAGATAAAATAAATCGGAAAAAACAAACAAATGAAAACCTACTTATTCAAATCGATTTTATCCTGTCTACCATGGAATTTGATCGCTTCTTGGCTAAAATTTTTGATTGCTGATTCAAGTGATTCTAGAATGGAAAAAAACCAAAAAATGAACAACAACAAAAAAAATCGAATCAGTTCAAAGAACATATACTAATACTACTCACTTAGATCTAGATCCATCATGTCAATAAATTCATTTGAATCAATCATCATTAACGATGACGACGAATTTAAATTGATTATTTCACCATTTTCAATTATTGATTCAACGATATTTCCATTATTTTTAGACATAGACATTGATTGTTGTTGTTGTTGTTGTTGCTGACGACGTCCCATCATGATTACATTATACATATGTAAAGTTTTTACATAAAAATCTTTCAATATTTGAGCATAATCAAATAGATTGAACGGTATGAATGATGAATTGGAAAGGTTTTCGACTAGATGTACCAATATTTGTGCTATGGTTACATGATAACGATAATCAGGATCAATAAAATTTTCCAATGCTTCAATACGATCATATTGGCTATGTAATAATGGATAAGGAATATGATTCATTGTAATACGTTCGACATCTTCATTATTATCATCATTTACATTCATTTCATCATCAATATTGATGAAACTAATATCGGCAACAGGTATACCGGCCATTGTATAGAATGGTGCATATGATCCATACATATCTAATGGTCGTACATGTGGTCTTACTTCTTGAAATGCTGATTCTAAATATGTTTTTAGAATTGATCCCGGATCGGCTGTTTCTTGACGATGAAATTGTCGATAATTTTTATTGCCCAGTATTTCTTTTTCACTAATATCTGTCGGATTTTCAATATCAAACATTTTCATATGATTAAAAATGTTTGATTGAAATATTAATGTTGATTTATTACGCATTTTAGGCATCGATACAATCCATTTATCATAGATTGAATTGAAATCATCTTGTTGTTTTTGATGATGATGATGATGAAGAGGAAGAAGGTGATCGTCGTGGTAGGAATACATCTTTTGTAGCATTGAAAATTGAATGATAAAGTAATGGTGATGCAGCTACACTAAGCGTATCATTGCCATTAACCTGAATTTGAAAATTTTTTTTTTTTAATAATAATTCAATTTTCAATAAGATAAATCTATACTTACGACTAGATTAACATTAATATAGGCCACAGCACGCATATATAATATTTTATATAAATCTTCAACAAATTCTGTTGAACCAATCAGATTGAATTCTTCACCACCCCAGCTACAAAACATTAATGTTCGCCGTGGTCGCCAACCACCACCATTTGCAACCATATCACCGAATACACGTGCCATTTCCATGAATGTACCTGTACCGCTTGCCGAATCAATAGCACCCATTGTCATTGAATCACGTTGATTACCAATAATAACATAACGATCCGGTTCATCATATCCACGTATTGTACCGATTACATTATAAATAGTTTTTCTGACTAGTCGATTATTGACCGATATACGAACTTTAAGATTATCCTTTAATTTAGGTCCAATACGATAGGTAAGATTAAGGCCACCTTTCCAATCATTTGGTGCAATCATTCCATCCATATGATTGAAAATTTTTTCAGCCATCTCATAACTGATTGGTTGTGCAGGTATTGTTAGCTGTCGTTCTGGATGGAATCTATTACGATAGGCATATGAATTTGATGGCAAACCAAATGTTTCTGGATCACCGGCACCATTCCAGAATATACCATCATTTCTTATGCCATCCGATGGTAACCATAATGAATCGGGAAATGGTTTTGATTGTCGAGGATTATAATGTTGTGGATCTGGATATAATAACAATGCCGATGCATTCAATGCAGCTGCATAACGATATTGTTCACTTGCAGACAGATGAAATTGTTTGACAAGAAAAATTTTTCCATTAAATATTTCATTACTGGTTGTATTAAATAGATTTTGTAATTGAATAAAATCAACTGGACGGCCATAATTAACGAATAATATCTCTCCAGTTATATCACCTTTTGGTGAATAAGGACTAAATGGTAAAGGCTGTTGTTGTTGTTGATTAGACGTTGAAAGTGATGAATAAATTTCACGGCCAGATATTGAATCGACTAATGCAACAAAATTTGGTCTATTCGAATCAGGCAACGATAATAATGTGGAATAATTTTTCAATGTAACATAATCAAAATGATTATGAATAAAATGATCACGAATTTTGTTTGCTAAATCTAAATCTTCATTTGAACTAGCCAAATGTGGTTGCCGAGAAAATTCTCGTACATTTATTCGTATATTTTCTGAACTAATACTTGCCAATAATTGTGCTCGTCTCAATGCTGAATCACCTGCAATATGCGATGATGATGATGATGAAAGATTGGCTTCATCAAACGATGATGAGATCACCTTGGTCTGTAAACAATCATTTGTATGAGATAAATGATTTGAATGGCTAAAATAACCGATTAGAAATCCAAAAATTCCAATACAAGCCGATATCGATAAAATCAATATGATTGAACGTTTATTACGATAAACATGATACGGAATGGTTTCGGTTGTTTTTTCATAAATCTGTATGGCTGGTTCATGTTCAGGCCAGCCATTATGATCAACATCGGTACATTCTTCGTCTTTTTTTGTTGTCAATATTGTAAATATGGTCGAATATGGTTGCACAATGTCAATGTCAATCGATAAGATAATGATATGTGGTGGATAAGAAAAATGTATAATAAAATAAAATCAATCAATCAAAAGAATATTCTTTATTACAAATTTAATTTACCTCGATATGGACGATATTGAGCTGTCAATGTCATTTGTATATATATAGTTGTATATTGGTTTTGAGCACCAATCACCAGACAGATATCGATTTAAATCAATTGACCAAAAATATCAGAAAATTAAAAACGATCAATATGTGGATTGACGAATGAAAATGACAGATGGAAAAAAATGAAATACTGATCAAGGACAACAAAAAAAAAATGCAAATATAAATATAGAACAAAAATATGTCAATAATATGGACAAATAATTTTTTTTTGTTTTGTTGTTATTTTCGATAAAATCAAATTGTTTTTGTCATTCTGTCAAACAAAAAACGTAGAAAAAAACAACCACACACACACATTACACACACACAATAAATATCGATCAATCAATCAACGAAGAATATTCAGAACAATTTTTCAATTGTCATCATCGTCATTACATATATGATGAATCAAATCCAAAAACAAATGCTAAATCACTGATATGGCCCACAATTTATATATATGAATTTAACTCGATAATAAAAATATAAATATTCTGGAGACCAAAGAGAAGAAAAATTTTCAGCTATATTGCATTATGATGAACCAAAAAAAAAAAAAAAAAAAATTTTTCCATTATTTGTTTGGATGCGCAAGTCTTTTTTTTTATTGTTGTTGTTGTTGTCGTTGTTTGGATGGATGGATTCTGGAATAGCTATAGACACGCACACAACATATAGACCGAGTTTCCATAGAATTACACATACAAGCAAGTATATACAAACAAAGTCAATAGATCCGACTAGTTTCAACTGTATGAAAAAAAACACTACATTGATGATGATGATGATGATAAATACTTTGAATCCAACGACAAATAAGAGGATCAAGTGAAAACAGCAAAAAAAAAAAATCCACTTCTTCTATAGGAAAATGACAACAACAACCAGTTATTTGACACAAACAAGACGATTTGATTTTTTTTTTTTTGAAAAAAATTCTGTTATGTTTATCGTTGTTTTTTGTTGTTGTTGTTGTTGAATTGATATGATCGGATGATTGAGTGTATATAACTGGCTGTAACCTTTGTGCTTGGCTAGTTATTATTTAGCTGTCGAAACAACTCGATCTTTTTTCAATAATAATACAAACAGCTAGTTAGATCAAACACAGATTTTCAATGTCTGAATGTATGTACTCACATGTGAGTATGTTCTTCATATGGTGTGAGTGACCGACGACCTTTTTTTTAACAAAAATAAAATAATTCACAACTGTTTATGGTGGTGGAACCAGATTTTTTTTTTCATATGAAGAAAATAATTTCAGCTACCAGGTGTGTGTGTGTGTGTGTGTAGGTGAGCACGGGTGTGTTATTCATATTCGAACGAATAACCAACTAATGTGATGGTGTCACATAATTATGATGATGATGATGACATTACAAAACATTTTTTTTTTAATGATTATGTGATTTTTATTTATGTTTGAAAAAAAACAGTCATATTGCTTCGGGTGTTGGCTTTGTGATCATCATCATCATAAAATTTCGAACAAGTTTTTTTTTTTCGATCGATCCATTGATCATCATCATCATCATTTTCATTTATTTTAAAGAATTGATGATTGTAATGTACCTGCTGAAAAGAAAAAAAAAACTCCAGATCCAAAAAAAAAATGAATGAATGAATGTTTGCGGAAATAATAACAGAATAAAAACATTACACAATGGATTAACATTCAGGGTCGTTGACAATCACATTCTGGTCACAATGACAACAAAAAACGAAAGGTTGTTGACATTTGATGACCAGATCTGTAATAAAAAAAAATGAATTTCATTTTTTCATGCGAAAAAATGAAATTCAAATAAACAATAATGATTCTTTGGATTGCATGATGGATAGCCATAAACAAAATGGAATATCGAATAAAACGTAGAGGAAAAAAAATCATATTGATTACACACTTTCTAAATGATGATGATGATGATGATGACGATTCGTTGGAACTTATCGTTTTTTTTCTGTGTTTCCAGAAAAAGAAAATAAAATTACAGCTACATATGAGTTGAATTTGATAATTTCATTTTCTCCACCATTCTTGCCATAGTGATCTATCACCAGTATCAACAACATTTTACTTTTTCAAAATTCTCAAGAATTCGCCAGGTGAAAAATAAAATTTTTCCTCTTTTTCCTCCTTGTCTTTTTTTTGTGTTCATTGATCGATCGATCAATCGATCCAATTGGTTAATGATGATGGATGAATGAATGATGAAACTTTTTTCTCTCTTCTTTTTTTTTGCTTTCCGTATTTTTGTTCAGGTTTCATTTTTAGTTTCATAATTTTTTTTTCTGGTTTCATAAATATTCAACAGTGGTATTCGAGGGATAGAAATAAGAAAAACAGTAATAGGTTCCCCTTGACAATAAATGGCACACAAAAAAAAAAAAAAAAACACCCACTCCTTTTTAATTCCATATCGGGTAACCATAGTGACCACCTGTGCGTCTCGAATAAAATTCAATTCTATTCATGAAAATAGAAAAAAACAAAAGATTTTATCTTCGTGTGCGTGGTTTTCCGTTCCATCACCACCATTCGTTCGTTCATTCATTATATCATCTGTGTTCTTCGATTCGAATGAAATTAATTTTCATTTTTTTTACAGATGGCCAATTTCAATTGTTGTTGAATGTCAAAATGAATATTTCACTGATTAGTGAATATAAAATTTCATTCATTTTACATAGAATTTTTCAAACATTTTTCGGTGGTCTTGAATTGAATAATCGTATCATTACATTGGGACGAAAAGATTCGAAAACAATGACCACCGATACGAATGATTCGAATTTTACGATGAATAATCTGATTCCAGGTGTAACATCATCTTCATCAACTTCGACATCAGCATGGTTTATTCAATTATTCATCTATATATTTCCATCATTCATTGGTACAATTGTATCGACATTAATCGATTCAGCATTGATTGATTCATACATTGGTATATTAAGTGTATCGGTAATTGGATTTATTTTTACAATGATCATGAATATTCAGCCACAAAAATTGGCCAATAAAACACGGCCATTAATTCATATTGATGATGGTTGGCCTATGGATGCATCCACCGCCGTTATGTTCAAACAAAATCAGCCAAAACAAAATCTTAAATATCCGAATGTTAAAACCATTCGACAATATCAATCACAGATAATTATCATTATTATTGCTCGAAGCTTGATATCATGTTCACTTCTCGGTATGATGGTCAATTCATTTCGATTGAAATCCATCAAATTTCATGTTCAACCAGATAATGTGATGGCCATTTTTATCATGCTACTAGTATGGTTCACATTTACAACGGTACATTATTCATTGATTGTTGGATCACCACCTGAAACGACAGCTTATTCAATAAAATTTCGATCAATAGATAGTTTTAATCGTTCAATCTATATGCTCACCTTATTATTGGCTATGACATTCGCATCAGAATCAATATATTCAACAATAACATTGATTATCTGTTGTTTACCATTATTATGGTTATTGGGCATATTACCACCAATTCCAGCATTAGTATTCTATCTTCTTGAACAAATAAATATCGTATTGTTAGCCGGTACAGCCAGCTGTTATATATGGTCATTATTTATGACAATCATATTCTCCATAACTGCCATTACATTAAGTCATTTTTATCTTAACGGTCGACGATTTCTTCTCACCAATTTGTTTACCGGATTTTTAGTAAGTAATAAATGGTTATTTAATATGAATCGATTACAATATTGGCCATATCTGATAAAAATGATTACATCAATCAATGCTATGATTGCCATCTATTGGATACAAAATCGATTCTTGTCGATTATTCGGATACAACTTTTTGAAATTCTTTTAACATTATTGATCATTGTTTATTTGGCTAAATATTTCAAAATGATCTACGTGATTAATGTGATTAAAAATCCGCTCAATATGATTATGTCGACACGATTCATTAGTCGAATACATTCAAATCGTACATTCATAATGATTATACGAATTCTTCTACATTTATTCATACCGATCATTTGTTTGTTATTGATTGTACAGAAATTAGATAATAATAATGATCGTATAATGAATAGAACGATTACGATAAAAAATTTTCTTTTTGATATTCTTGTATTTCGAATGTTTCGCCATTGTTGGCAATATCCATATCGTTTTGGCTTCCAAACTTTATTCATCGAAATTTTGGATTCAATTCATTATCCAATCAATAGTCATGATAATATAATTGCCAACATTAATGAATGGCCATTAGAAGCTAGATATTTTTGTTTGGATCTAATCAGAATGATTGTAATTGATTTTTGCCATAAATTCTATATGGTAATGACCATTCTTATTACATCTGTGATGTTTCGTAAACAAAAAATTCGTTATAGTTGGACCATTTTCGGTAAGTTACTAAAAAAAAATCAAATCATATGTTAATTAGTGAAATTTATTCATTTGTTTCTAGTTTTAAATGTGATATTATTACCTTTAAATGTTATCATCATAATTATAACCAGTATGCTCAATATACCCATAATTCCATTGTTTACATTACCGATTTTTCTGCCATCATTTCCACGGCCAATGAAATTCTGGTCAACAACACCAATGATGTTACCGATGACAATGGATGATACAATGAATGATGCAGCATATTATCGACAATTGATGCCACGTTTAATTGATTCATTACATCAACAAAGTCTTTTCTGGGATTTTCGTCATGCAGGTGAAATTATGATAGCCAGATTTGATGATCGTTTAATGTGGTTTCAAGTACTAGAATCAGGACATAATTATTGCCAAATACAAATGAAAGGTCTTGAATTACAGGAAACATCTTGCCATACATTAGAAGCATCGACAATCGATCAGATCAATGAATATTCATTCCATAATATTGGTGTGTGTTGTAATTCATTGTTCAATAAATATTTCTTTTATGCCATCAATCCATTGACAAAAACAACAGTACAAACTTATTCCGATGCAACCAGTGTTCTAACAGGTATCATTGAGTCACCGGATACTTATGTTCGCATTAAACGTCTATTCTGTCCAGTATTCATATGGCTTCTACTACAGCATAAGATTCGTTTGATTCTTGTAGAACGTGAACAAAAACTTCAAAATGAGAATAAAAATTCAAATGTAAATATTCAAATGGTTAAAGAATCACAGATCAATATAATTGTACAATCCGATTCGGTAATGGATCAACGTTCATCGTCTAATAATGATGATGATAATAATGATAATGGTGATGAACAACGAAATCGTTCTATTTCGTCAACATCTACGAATAATACAGATAACGATGGTGAATCGTCGCTGCAATTTAGCTATGATGATCTTCAACCAAATATACAATGGACCAATTTCAGTTATCAAATTTCACGAAGACGTAAATCAATTCAACATCGTATTAATCGTTTTCTTTATTCAATTGAATGGTTTTCGAATGTTTTGAAAATTTTAACTCACAACAAAGCCATTCTAACGGAAAATGAACTTGAATCATTAATATTGTCATACAATCATATAGCAAACATTTGTTTTACCTTGGTATTTCCAACGAACAAAATTGCCGAATCATCAATGTCACAATGGATATATGAAATGTTTAATAGTCAAACGATGGCCAAAGATTCAATGATTGATGAAAATCTTCTCGATGTTGATCTCAATCAGATTTGTTTGCAAACTATTCGTTATGCAACAAAATTAGCATTCGATCAGATGATTTTCGCTGAAGAAACATTAACTGATGATGAAATAATCAATCAATTAAAAGAATTTGATCAAAATTGGTATTTTGGTTCGATTAATTCTTCAGAATGGAGAGATGCAGTATTGGCCGAGAAATTACAATTGTTTTCCATTTCCAAAGATGTTGTCAAGGTTTGTTGATCGAACCAATCTTTTAATTATAATTGAATTCTGAATATTTCTTTATCATTATTCCTTGAATAGGAAAATTATCAAAGTCATATATTAACATTGAAAGATATGGACATTTTTATATGTTCAATTAATCGTTCGATTGTTGATGCAATTTGGTCATCATTATCATTCGAATTGTTTTATCTGACCAATGATGATGAAGAACGTTATTCGATACAGGCACATCAAATAATTTTCCGTAAGAAAATTGAACTGATTGATAACATTATTCGATTGATTGATTCTATTTTTCAAATCAAGGAAATTTAACCGTACAAGCAGCTGATCCACCACTTGGATATCCAGTTTTTGCTTCGGAACCAATTCTGATCTCACATATTATCTGAATGTATTTGAGTGTCAACTATTCTTGTTATTTATTGACATTAAATTTTGTACATTTAAAACAAATATAAATAAAATGACATGACAAAACAAAACAAAACAAAACAAAAAAATTCAAAACCAAAATCTCAATTTTCAATTTCGACAAAAATTCTATTTTTCTTTCCTGAATGCTAATAGATGGCATCTTCAGATCAATGATTCGAAAAAAAAACAATTTCAAGTTCCGATATTGTTCATAGATGGCGACAAAACATTGTTTAAATGAGCTCTGTGTTTTAAAATTCAACAGGTCGTGTTTATGCAAAAAAAAAAAAAAAATAATAAATAAATAAATGTACGCGGAATCTATGTGAACAACATCAAGAAGAAGAAGAAGAAAACGAAGCTAAAAGATCGGAACATTCATTCTACATGAACCGAATGAACGAACGACCGATGTATAATAAATGGAGAAAAAAAAGTATCTTATCTAACCGGTTATTGGCATTTATTTTTGGCTCCTCGCGAAAATGCAAAAAAGAAAATAAAACATTGATGATATCGATGGATTCGACAGACTCAACACTGCACTATTGCTAAAAGGTAAACCGTTTACCCGAATTCACAAGATAGGAAAAAAAAACATTTATATATTGCCTGTTGTAATAGAATAAACAGCTAAAATATATGGCCTTATTTCTCATCGAATGTATATAGAAATGAATATAGAAAGTTATGCTCGAAATGAAATACTAGTTTTATTTTTTTTTTTTGTTGGTTCATCACTATCACCATCGCCAGCAGCAGCAGCAGCAGCACCACCACCACCAATAACAACCATCATCATTACCAATAGCAAGCAAGCAAGCAAGCAAAAAAAAAACGAAGACATCGACTACGACCATCAGGTAAGCAAAAGTTGATACTACTGTTATATAACTGGCTTTAATATAATTTTCATCAAGGCTGGTTGACCGACATATGGTCACTCTCTTGTTTTTTTTTCTGCTTATATGTGTTGGTTTGTCCGATGAACGAGATGGTAAAAAAAAAAATATATAATGAGGAGAATGAAAATGTGGATGTGAAGGAAAATTTTTTTTCGGAAGGAATGAAAAAAAAAATATCGTATATACGGGGATACAACGAAACAGAAACGGTCCATCATCATCATCATCATCATTTTAACAATTCTAAAATATTCAACAGGCCAGGGATACCTGCATGTATAAATATGTATACTTGCTTGCTAACTAACTAACTGACTGACTGACTGACTGAGTTATATCAATTTATATATGTAATGTGACCAGCAAAAAAAAAATTGTACCATATCATATCATTGCCAATGGTGGTAAATTGGTTAAATTATATCTGGCATAAGAAAAATGTCCCGTTACTATATATCTAGTTCATTCTAGTTCCGTTTATGGATTCGTTTTATTTTTACTTGATTTTATCCCTCATCATCATCATCATCATCATCGTCGTCGTCGTTTGCTACTTGATGGATAATTTTTTTCATATTAGATATATCGTGATATCGTGAAAAGAATTCTTTCCCCCTTCCATCAATACCACTCAACAACTCACATTCCCCATTTGATCCATAAATGGATTAATTAAAATCAGATGAAAAAAATGATAAGAAAAAAAAATATTAATCCAATCTTAACGATAACGATGAAAGAAAAAAAAATTATAACTAGCTACTAGTATTATAATTAATTAAAGGAATATGAACAACAGTAGCAAATTGGGTAATATTGATTGGCCTAGAACGTGACAATTAAAAAAAAAGGAAAGAAAAGAAAAGAAAATCACCGAAAACATACACGCATACACACACACACACACACACAGGTATCCTTGGCCACATCCTATGTTTCAAATAAGATTAATTGTCATTGAATTTCTATTGTTTTTTTTTCTTCTTGTTGAAAAAAAAAGTTTCCTGGCCCCTTTTTTTTCTCTTTAATTCCAGTATATAATTTGGTCACGAATTATATCATCGTATTGGTTTGAATTTCATTCATTCATTCATTTTTTGAGTAAACAACAAACAAGCAACAAGTAGACAACAAGTAGTAATACCAGTGTAGTTGGCAGCTGAAATAAATGTCCGTCAACACAACATACATCATCATCATTATCATTAGTGATGAAGAAAATGAATGAAAAAAAATTGCTATTTTAGCAATTGATCCATCTGGCATCATCTATTCTATATTCGAATTCATATGTAGCCATAATAATATAATGATTCTAATTTTAGAAAAAAAAAAAATTCAAAGAGAATAAATGAACAAACAAACGATACATCATGGATAGACGAATGATCGGTCGAATTGGTGAATAAGAAGAAGAAGATGAAGAAGAAAGAAAGAAAGAAAAAACTTGTTTAACCAACCAATAGAACAAGAAAAAAAAAGATTAGACGGTCGTTGTTCTAAATTCAAAAAAATTGACGGGCGTATTTTTTTTTCATTCGGTTATCTATATTCCGTCAATGATGATGATGATGTTAACCGATTGCTCTAATCATCATAATTCTCGATATATGTTTGTGTGTATGAGTGGATTTCGATGAAATGATAATTTTGTTTCATATAGTGGCAGCAATAGTTTAAATTTTTTTTTTTTATTACTTTTTTGGTTGGAATTTTCTTTCATTCACTCATCTTTATTAAACCAATCATTTTCAATGAGAATATTTAACCGGCCTACCGATAAATATATCGTTGTTGTTGTTATCGTCGTCTGCTTTACATTTTTTTTTATGATGATCATGACCTAATTAAATAATTTACTATATTCATAGACATTTTTAATATATAAATAAATTTTATCGGTTAAATACCAATGAAATTTTTAGACATCGAAACATGAACAAAAAAAAAACAGTGATTAAACTAGCGGTTAAAATTTTAATCACACACACAAACACAAACATCGCAGACAAATTTCTCAGTCTCAGCCACATTCTTCAAATTGTACAAATGAATTTGTTGAATTTCTCGAAAAGATTTAATTTGAAGAACAAAAAAAAAAAAATTCTCATGATTGTTTGTTTGAATAATAATAGTCAGTGTGATGATAATATGAAATGAGAAGGGAAAAAAAAGAGAAATTTGAGAAAGGCAAACAGACAAACAGAACGAAAACAGAACAGAACGATTGGCGCCTGGAAGCAATTGATTATTTGATCTAAAAGATTGGGAGAGAGAGAGAGAGAGAGAGAGAATTCCAATTCAATATTCTAAAAATAGCTAGTTTGTGTGTATGAACGGTGCCCGAAGGTGGAATGAATTTTTTTTTTTTTTTTTCACCGACAACAACAACCGATAAATAAATACTATAACTAACCTGTTATATGAATATTTTTTTTCTTATATATATATTCAGGTTATGTTCATTTGTATTTGTTTATATTCAAATAATAATAAACGGTAAACAAAAAAAAAATGAATGTAATCATTGGTAAAATCAGAAATGAACTGAATTGTTTCTTTCAATTTCTTTATTGAAATAATAATTGCACCCTATATATCCATATATGATAATAATGAAAAGATAAAGCGCCCGAAAGAAAAACTATAGAAGAAATTAGCCAGAAGTGAATAAATTGGTCGAATAAGCTTGGATATTGTCGTTAATCGTCTGTCTCTGTCTGTGTATGTGAAATGAAACAACAACAAATTGGCGCCATTCAATTTTTTTTTTTTATATAATCGATTTAAGAACCAAATAAATATCTATATAGAGATACATTCAGTATAATCAGACAAATAAAGGAATGTCAAAAAAAAAAAAATTGAGCCATTCAACAAACCACTTGTTGAATCCAGATTGAAATGGGTCGAATATTCAAACAGTAGAAGAAATTTTGATAAACATTTACTTTTTTTTCTGACTGACTTGTTGTACAGCAAACAAAAAAAAAATCAAGAACTGAAATAAAATGTAATGAAAATAGATAAATCTTTAAATTCCCGGAGGTTAATCATCATCATCATCATCTTTATCATCATCAAAGTATTCAAATATGTACCGATTTCACCAAATAAAGGTCGTTAATTATTTTTTATTTATTTATTTATTGAGAATTTTGTTCATGAAACCACAAACCAACCAACCAACCAAACAAACAAGCGAGATAGATAGATAGTTTTTTTTCTTTCACTTGGGAAACTACTCTATATATCCGGTAATGTTTAAATGGAATGTTAATACCGTTATATATTTTTATTTTGGAAAAAAATTTTTTTTTTATACATCAGGTATGTGTGCGTGTGAGTATGTAAACCAACCAGTATACTTGCTATATATGTGTGTGCACTGTTATCCATGATTATAATCAAGATGATGATGATGATGATGTTGTTCATCATTTGGGGCTTGTTACATTGATTCTAATTTCTTGATTAAGGGTGGTTTTTTTTCCTACATTGCGGTTCGATTAAAAAAAACATCCAATGAATGAATTGAATTGAATTGAAATGAATTGAATAAAATGAAATTGATTCATCAGTAAAGCCTGAAGCTAAATTTATGTCTGGTTACCACCATCATCATCATCATCATCAAAAAAAATGTGAATCTCGGCATAGATGATGATATAGATTTATATAACAAGAGTGCTAGAGATAGAGATAGAGAAAAAAAATGAAACGATTTATGAATTACCATTATATTTGGTTTATGGCAACGATTTTTCTCTCTCTCTCTCTCTCTCTCATATGTTTGGTTATCTAATCCTTGTATTTTATTTTATTTTTTTTCATTCATTTGTATATGAATTCATTGAAAATGAATGAGAACAAACATAACGAACTTCAATCATTAGCGCAGTAATAGAAAAAAAAACAAGTACAGTTCATTCATTCATTCATTTATGATCATAATCATAATTATCAATCAAACAAAAAAACTGGTTGAAAAAAAATGAATGAATGATAAATGGTCTAAAATGAAGAAAAATAAGTTTACCAAAAAAAAAAAAAAAAAATTTATGGTGATTCACATTCATAAATAACGGAACGGAAAACGAAATCTTATCTATTTATTCATTTCCGATGAACGGAAAAAAACTTTTGCGCTATTTCTTAATGTGTGTGTGTGTGTGTGTGTGTAATTATACATTCTCTTTATTTTTATTGAAACCATAGCTATAGAATGATTGCTTGACAAATGAAACGGTTGATGGAAACAAAACAAAAAAAAAACAAACTGAACTGGAAACAATCATATAACAGGAACAATTATGATTACGATGATTGGCTAATAATAATATATGAATATATCATGTAAATGGAGAGAGAGAGAGAGGAAATTGAACCAGAAAAAAATTGGCCATAAAAAAATGTGCATTTTTGGTTGAAAATGTTTTTACTTGTCCCCATCATCATCATCATCATCATCATCATTCTTTTATCTTACATAGTTGATTTATGTAAAACAGAAAAAAAATTCTCGCTTATTTGTCACACACAGTATGTATTACTGTATGTTTTTTTTTTTAAATATTGTTCAACCAAATGTGACAAATGTCACCTGTTGATTTACATATACTGTTAATAAAAATAATAATAATAATAATAACCAGCAATGTGAAAAAAATAAATATTTTTTTTCCTACCGTTGTCGATAAGTTAATGCTGTAGTATACAAAATAAATAAAGAAAAGAGAAAAAGAACTAGATCATCATCATCATCATCATCATCATCAAAAGGTAAATTACAAAATTACAATTTATCTACATAACTTACTTTGTGTTTATTTTATTTTTTTTTT